ACTGGATGGCACTGAATCATGTCTCAACGCTGATTTTTAAAATTCTTTCCCCAGGATCATTTTGCCTTGGATGCACACACCCACTCTGGAAAACTCTGGCAACTAGTCCTGTAGCCACTTGAGTTCTCTCTTACTCTAATTTTGCTCCCCTCCAAACCATCCTCCTCAGTTCTGGCTAAAATAAGTTTTGTATTATGTCATTTACCCTTCCCTGGCTCACTATGTCAACAAGATGCAGCCCAAACTCTGTCATGGCCTTGGGTCATGACTTCAGTTCTCCAAAATAAATTTGATATTCATTTCTCAGAGATCTGTATCTAATGTATATTAAACATTCAATAAAACAATTAAATATATTGAAATTATGCAAAAGCTCACTAAACCCTGTTCAACTGCAGGGGTGAAGGCCCTGGGTGTCATTTGGTCTGCCCCTGCCAAGGCATTAGGGGTGAGTTAATTAAACGTTTGACCAAATACAAAAGGCTAATTTTTAAGTTGATAATTTTGTATGGCCCATGAGGGATGCCATAAATATATAAATGCCGTTGGCAGAAAAAAGGTTCCCCACCTCTGGTTTAAGGTCTTTAAAGCTGTTTTAAACATAAATGATGAAACAAAATCTTTCTGCTGGTACTTTTGCAATAGCCCCTTTCAAACTGACTCAGAGGCCGATGTTCTTTATTTTAAATTCCATCCAGCGGGGGTTTGAGAGATTGCAGTGCTTAGGGATTTGGCTGGTAAACTGCCTAGCAGACTCCTAGGCATGTCATTACCTCTGAATCATCTGCCTGCTCTAAACCAGCCGAGGCGACAGTGTGAGTCCTCCTGCCTTTTCCTTCCCTTTTTAAAAATGCTCCGTTTATCCAGCCACTGTGGACTGAGGGCCTACACATTGGTACCATCTTAGGTACACGGGCGTTATCAACGTAGCTAAGGCAGGGGATGGGATTCTCAGCTACCAAGGCATGTGTTCGTGTTAGGCAGGTAGTATCTGTAAGCCAAAAACAGTGCTGCATATTCTGTCCCTGCCCAGCAGCGGACTAGACACTGGAGGATTTGAGAGAGGGATCTGAGAAAAGTAACCTTTCCTGCCCTTAAAGAGCTGTCCTCCCTGAAGGAAATAAGATTCGCACATAAATCAGAGACTGGTTTGCAGTGCGCATGTGGTACAGGCATGAAGTGCTGTAGCGAGGAGGAGCGTGAGATCTGGAGGAGCGCTGTTCTTGAGTGGATTCGGAGAAAGGACCTTTGTACAGCCCGCGTGTGTGAGGACATATATAAAACTTTCAACAATAAAGATTTTATTAAAAAATATTTACACAGAGGCTAAATTAAAAACCACAGAGAATGTTATACATTCTTTTAACAAGTTATATAAAATCTCATTTGAAAAGAAAGCTGGTATTTGGATTCTAATCATTTTATTAACCAAAAGAGTAAATAATTCATTTTCTTAAAATAAATGATAAATCACTCTGCTTTACAAATCTGGACCCAATAGAAACATGGGTCCGATGTTTCAGCAGCCAGTCCTCCGAAGAGGAAACCCAGGAAACATGGAACCGTGTGCTTCCTCCCTGTGATCAGGGAAATGCGAATTCAGGCTATAATGGCTAATCATTTCATACTCAGGAAATTAGCAAAAATTGTGCAGGTGTGATATAAAATGTTGGCAAGAATGTAGAGCAGTGGGACTTTCAAACTTCCTATGGAAATGGAAACGGTGGGGACACTTGGAACACAGGTTAGGGTCATTTTAAAGATCTGCATATTCTGAACCCCAGAAGTGCCACCTCTTGGTGATAACATTACAGGAAAATCCTTGCTTGTATTCATTAGGCAACATGTTTAATGTACTATCACTTATAATAGCCTCAGGAAACTGAAAAACAATCTAAATATCCTTCAGTGAAATTATAGTTTGTCCTACAGTGGAATACTATACAGTGGATAAAAGGAGGGAAGTAAAACTTATATGTGAACAAATTTCAAAAACATGTCAATGAAAAAAACAAGTTAAAAAATGAAGCTTATTAAATACAAAAACCTAAAGAACATATTCTCTATTTTTATGGTATAAGACTAGCATAGAAAAGGAATAAGGTGAGTAGATAAATACAGGACGTTTCAATTATTTTTATAATTTATTAAACTGGGTGTTAGATACTTGAGTGTTCTTCATATGTCATTCATTGTGACTTTTTTATACCTGAGACATTTTATTAAACAAAAAATAACTCTTTTTTTTTTCAAAATGGTCTAGTCACCAAATACCTTTTGCCAATAATTCTATTAAATAATTTATATGTCACAGTAAATATACTAAGGAAAATTACTTTGAAATAAGATAGCTCTTAATGCATCCTTCTTAGTCATCTCTGGCTGCCAGAACAAAGTACCACAGACAGGGAGACTTAAATGACAGAATTTAATTTTGGTCACAGTCCCCAATCAAGGTGCCAACAGGGCGTGGTGAGGGAGCTCCCTGTGGGCTGCAGTCGCCCCTTTGTTCTGTGTCCTCACGTAGCCTTTTTTGGTGTCTGGGCGAAGACAGTGTGCTGTTGGTGGTGTCTGTTCTTACACGGACACTACGTCTATTGCATCAGAGCCCTACTCTTATGACCTCAACTACCTGAATTAGTTCCTCAGAAGCCCCATCTACAGATACAGCCACACTGGGCTTCAATATATGAATCTTGGAGGAACACAAACCTTCAGTCCATTACATAGTCTGTATTCTCTTTGGAGAAAGAAAGAGAAAGATGAATGAGAAGTTGTAAATAAAAGCTACCTGAAACATTTTTCATTTGCGTCCTGTATTATTAGTGTACAAATGACAGGGTTGGAGATATAGACCCCTTTCTAATATCTCAAAATAGTGCCCCCTCCCCCTATTCTTTCTGGAACTTATCTAGGTGTTTTGTTTGGGTTAGTTGGTATTTAAAAATAAGTCTTATCATCTTTGAATCACTCTGCTATTCCTGCCACCACTGTTCATTTTCTAATCATGCTCTCTGCTTTTTATTTTTTACTAGGGGCCCAGTACACTAAATTCGTGCACTGGGGGGGGGTCCCTCTGCCCAGCCTGCCCCCTCTCACATACTGGGAACCTTCAGGAGATGTCCTGCTGATGGCTTAGTCTAAGCCACAGTCTGGCCTCCCTTTGCGGGAGGTGACTGGGCTGATCATGGGAAGGTGCCAGCCCCATCTCCTCGCTCCTGCAGCCACTGCCAGTCACTGCAGCCACCAAGGTGTTTTCAACAACACGAACTCCAGTCCCTTCACCATGAAAAATGACAACTTTCTTTAGGCATTTTCAAGGTCTTTCATAGGATATGACATTCCTTTCTTTATTTTTCTTTTTATCTTCACCTGAGGATATGTTTCCATTGATTTTTTCCCCCCTTCTCTCCGATCATAGATTCAGCCCCTGCCCAAGCCTAAAGCCTCCCCAACCAGGCTTTAGGCTTGGGAAGGGGCCCCCCCAGCCCCTCTGATCGCAGGCTCGGGTCCCTCATCCCAGTCCCTACAATGGCTGGCTGGGAGTGACTTGGGTGCTGAGGAGGTTCCAGGGACCCAGGTATGTATGCAAATTAACCTCCATCTTTGTTAGGTTAATTTGCATACTCACTCTGATTGGCTGTGGGCGTAGCTGAGATATGGTCAATGTACATGTTTCTCTATTATTAGGTAGCATGTTATAATATATTTTTATTTCAGAGAGGAGAGAGAAATAGAAATATCAATGATGAGAGAGAATCATTGATTGGCTGCCTCCTGCATGCCCTCCTCTAGGGATTGAGCCTGAAATCCCACATGTGCTCTGACCATGACAACTGGTTCATAGGTTGACACTCAACCACTGAGCCACACCAGCGGGACATTTTTTGCTTTTTAAAATGCTTCATTGTTCTCTTCTATTTTTATGGTTTTTAACTTGGATTTTTTTCCCCCTTGTTTGGCATTTAGAAGGTGCATGATAACAAATCCTGAAGACGTTATACATGACTCATAATTTCTTAATATCGTTTTAAATTTACAATGATGCCATATAATTTTAATTAGTGTCAATAATTATTCCTTTTTGACAGTCTTTTTAATTATTCTACTCATCTAGAATAAAATGTTTATATTTTGAAATTATGTTTAATCACTCCCTCTCATTTGCTTTCATCCATTTCGTACTGTAATGTGAAGTTGATACTCAACAAGAATTTGGAATAGTAAACAAAGCAATCGTGCAATTATAGGAATGCAAGAGAATGCCGATCTATTTGTTTTATTTTTTTAAATGCTGCCTGAGGGTTTGATAGTGTCTCTTGTTAGGTAGCTTATTGTTAAGGTGATATAAATGGTCCCCCTCGAATGGAAAGTCTATGACATAGTATCAGTCATGTTGCATTGTCACATGATGCCTGCAATAGCATTGTTCGGGCAGCAAGCATTCTATAGGTACATTTTAATTGAGTATTTTGGATCAATAAAATTGAAGGACATCAGAACATGTACTACTTTGGAGAGAAAAGGCCTAGATTGCGGCATTTATAAGAATATTATCTGGAAGCTCTCAGAGTTATTTCATAGTGGCTTTGCCTATTTGGATAGGTTCCTCCGTCACTGACAGGTGGAGAAACCAGCAGCACTGCTGAGTGGCCTGCAGTGGAGAAGCCACACTGCGTGGCCCTCGGGTCAGGCGCCTACCTGCTTGGCAGTGCTTTGCGTGTTGGAGTATCGCAGGAGGCAGTGTGTCAGCTCTGTGACAGTTACACCGATAAAGGCTCTGAAAGCCTTTTGTCCTGTGACAGGGGCTGGGGGGAAAAGGCCAGCCTCGGTTGCCATTTTGGCAAAGGTACCTGGGAACCAGCCTCTGGCTTGAGAGAGGCGGTAAGATGCTGCAGCCGAGGCTCACGGGACGGTTTCAGTGAATTAAAGTCATTCATCAGAAGGGATTTCTTTACTGATTTATGTTCAGACATTAAATGACTTTCTATTTCCTGCAGGAGGAACAGCTGAAGTCACATGAGAGCAAGCTGAAGCAGATTACCACCGAGCTGGCCGAGCACCGCTCGTACCCCCCGGACAAGAAGGTGAAGGCCAAGGAGATAGATGAGTACAAGCTGAAAGATCACTACCTGGAGTTTGAGGTGTGTGGGCCCCGAGTGTAATAAAAGCCTGTGCCTGGGCTGTTGTATGATTTTTCCAGGAGGCGTTGTTTTTCACAGTGACTGTAATTGGGACGTGTGCCACAAGCATGGTCTAGGTCTCATGGCTCCTTGTGTTTATGATTCTATTTAAGCATCAAACAAACATCAAGGATAACTGTCAGTCTGTGTCTGGTTGGAAGGGCCTGCTGTGAGGAGAGACCGCAGCAGTAGATGGGCATGCTGGGGTGGGCGGCTGCTCTCTATGTCTCTGTGTCTTTCAAGAGAGTTGAGTCCAAAGAAAGCACAGTAGGGAAACTGAGATACAGGGTGGCATGGAGCGTCAGTTCTCTCCTGCCATCAGGCAGCACCAGTGCTCTTCCTCCCCTACTCAGTGCCCTTCAGACGGAGACTGGCAATGTGGCACATCCCTGCACATCCATGTGCTATAGGCAGTGTGGTTATTAAAAAGATTGGGAGGATCCATAAACTCTGGAGGGGGGTGGGACATTTAAAAACCAGTTGAAAGCAGTATATACAGTAAATGTTACCTGCGGCTAAAGTTTCTCTCAAATTAACCAGTGCTAAGTTGTACAGAATCAACCTTTTGCTCTCCTTTCAGCTGCAACTTTTCAACATTCAATGTCTTTCCCCCAACACACACTATTTTTTTTTTCTGTTGGGTGTGCTGAATCTATCTTTAGCTCCTCATTTTCACTGTAGTTCTAGTTGACTTTATTTCCCATTATTCATCTTCATTTCCAGCCTTTTCCTCCTTGGGCTTAGAACCTAGACTCACCTGAGCATCCTCCTCTGGGCCCTTGCAGTCCCCCAGACCTAATCGGGACCAGGTCCAGCTGCATCCACAGCATCTGACGTGTCATTTCCTCGCCGTTGCTGGTGTGCATCCTCCACTCAAGTCCTAGGTCATTCATCTCGCACCTGAACCTGGCCGCTGTGCCTAACTGTCTCTCTGCAGCTCGTCCTGTATACACCTGATCGTTTGTTTGTTTCCTGAGGCTCAACCCACATGACGGCATTCCTCTGTCAACAGCTGCCCTAGATTTTTCTCCTAGGTCTCCCCCCCATCATTTGCCTTCTCAATATAGTCTCAGTCCTTTTTGTTTTTAATTTATCTTTCAATTACAGTTGACAAGCAGTATTATATTAGTCTCAGGTGTGCAACATAGTGGTTAGACATTGACATAAATTACAAAGTGATCACCCCAATAAGTCTACTACCCATCTGGCATCATGCATAGTTATTACAATATTATTTACTACTAGAGGCCTGGTGCAGGGGGAGCAGGGAGGGGAGTCTCTCAGCCCAGCCTGCATGCTCTCATAATCCACAACCCCTCGGGGAGGGTCCAGTCCCATCGCAGCATGGCTCGGGTTCCCCGGAGCCTGTGGGCAGGCGTAGGTACCCAGAGGCCAGTGCAATGGCAGCATGGCTTCATTCCCACAGCTCCCTCCCACCATTGCGCCGTGGGCAGCTGGGGCCCACATCTTAGCTGTGGGACCCACGACTGATTCCCGCCATGCTGGCCAGGACCGTAGCCTGGTGTTTGGTCATCTGTCCATTAGTTTAGGTCATGACGGACCCTGGCTCTTTATATATTAGGATGTGTGCTAAGCTGTGCTTTAGATCCCTGTGATTCTTTTTATAACTGGCAATTTGTATTCCTTAATCCCTTCGCCTTTTCTGCCTACTCCCTAGACTCACTCCCATCTGGTAACCATCAGTTTGTTCTTTGTATTTATGAGTTTGTTTCTGTTTTGTTTGCTCTTTTTTTTTTTTTTTTTAGAGTCCACATATAAGTGCCATCATACAGTATTTGTCTTTCTCTGATTTATTTCACTTAGCATAATACCCTCTAGATTCATCCATGTTGTCACAATGGCAAGTTTTCTTTCTTTTTTTTTTCTTTTTTATGGCTGAGTAGTAATATTCCACTATCTAAATGTACCACATCTTCTTTATCCACTTGTCTACTGATGGACACTTAGGTTATTTCACATCTTGGCTGTTGTAAGCAATGCTGCAGTGAACATAGGGAATGCATATGCCTTTTCAAATTAGTGTTTTCTGATTCTTCAAATTCCCTCCAGGAGGGAGTTACTGGGTCATATGGTAGTTCCATTTTTAATTTTTTGAGGAACCTCCATACTGTTTTCCATAGTGGCTGCCCTGATGTACAGTCCCACCAGCAGTGCACGAGGGTTTCCTCTTCTCCACATCCTTGCCAACACTTGTTTATTGATTTCAAAGCTCCAGTCCTTAATCTAAGAGGGTTTGGGCTCCTTCTGTCTTTCCACAACATCCAGTCTTTCCTCCACAGCCTCCATGTCTACCAGTCACATTTCTGCCCGCTCTCTCCAGCATGCTCCTATGCCTTTGTTCATCTGCTTCCTTCTGCCCCAAATGCCCTTCCCCTCATCTCCATTTGAGAAAGTCTCTTCATCTTTCAGATGCAGCCACATCCCTCCTGTGAAAAGCCTGCTCCCAGCTTGCAAGTGGATTTATTACTCTGTCGTAGTCCCACCACAGTTGACCTCTGTTCCTGTTATTTATTTCACTGACATCTGTAGTGGGTTCTGTACCTCCCCTGCCCAGGCCAGTGAGTCTTTAGAGAGCAGGGACCTCTTTGCTCTGTGCTTGCGTGTTGAATTGAACAGGATTTCATAGAAGATTAAAAAGTCTTCTGAATTATAAAATGTGCCCTTGGAGTCACCGTGGACCCGTGTGCTAGTTTTCTTCATGGCCGGCAAGTCCTTTCAGTAAATGTAAAAGTTTATTCGCACACACTGTTGGAAGCTGTACCAACAAAACAAGTATTTTCTAAAAAGATAAGCAAAATTCTAAGCAGCTCATCTTTCCCTGGGCTTGTTCATTCCTGGGAAAAGGAGTTCTCAAAAAGCAATCATAGTCTTCACACCTCTAGAATGGTTTTCAGCTCGGGGGCCCTCCTGGTTTCACACGTGCTAATTAAATTTCCCAACACCTCCATCCCTGGCTTCCAGCCCTCCTCACCTTGCCTGGTGCCCTTCACCAAGGCTGAGAGCCGCCCCAGGAGGTGGGACGGCCACAGACCATGGAAAGGTTGCCACTGTGAAAGCACTTCCTGCTCTGCAGTCTGCTCTCTGAGCAGGTAACCCAGCAGGAGCCAGCATTTTCATCTCCTGACCTGAACTTAGGCCACGCTTTGTGGGGACAAGTCTTGCTTTCATCAAAGTGTTGCAGTCCAAAGTCCTTGGCTCCTTAAATCGGACTCCTGTGCTCGTGTTGGGCACGTTGGCTTGTCTGTCAGGCCGCCTAACCTGTGTACCAGGAGGGAGGAAGGGTACCTCACTTTATAGATGTTACCTGGAAGGGTTTTTGTAAAAGTAATTGCTTTGTAAAACGGCATCGTTATTTTTCATTCATATAAAATAGTCGTGCATCTCGTGGGGGTTCCCTTTGCAAAGATGTCAGCCACCAGATTCTGCCCTGTGTGCTGGCTGCTGGAGACCCTTTGCTTGGCATTAAGCCCGCTGCTGTACAGGCCGCATCCCTGAGTAGCCACTCCCTTCCCTAACCGGCGTGGGAGGTAGTGACCATTTTCTTCCTTTGGTCACTGCTGTAGCTTCCAGAGCATGGGGGGAGTGCTCAGGACATGCTGTGGAATGGAGGAAGGGAACTGAATTATTGTGTGTAACAGATAACATCACCTGAAGTGGTTCTCTCAGAACGCTGAGTAGCTCCCCTGAAAGCAGGTCTGAGGGCAGGAAGGATGACAGCAGTGCCCGGGTTCAGGGGGAGCCTCCTGGGCAGTGACAGCAGGGGAGCTCTCACCTGTCTGTGGACCTGTCACCGAGGAAGGGTCCCAGGCAGGAAGGAGCTCTCACCCATTCCTGCAGTCAGGGACACCCTGTGGGTTCAGAGTCGTTTTTATAGTTTTCATGTCTTGCTAGGGAAAAGTGCTCTTTTTCTTTTTAGAACATTAAGCTGTTAGTAATAACACGGGGAGTTGCACCTGACTTTTTGCATTTTGGTTGTTCATTTCCCAAACAGTTCTTTGTGGTGGCCAAAGTCACAGCTTTTTCTATGCCTTAGAAATTCTTTAAAAAATAATAATAATAAATTAATAAGCCCTGTCAGTAAAAAATTAGAAATTATGGTAAATAGATAGGTTTAGGCTTTATTTTTAAGAATACAAAAATTCTTTAGAGAGCCAGGAGGCTTCCATCTATCTTAGGCTGGGCCTTTTGTAAAGAGAGTCAAAAAGTAACAATGGGCTACAATTGTCTAAATGCATGCGTCGCTCCTGGTTACTGAAGGAGGTTGTTTTATTTTTACTGAATTGATTCCCTCAAGAGATGGCTGTTACTTTTTTGGAAGAGTTCACTTGGAACCTAATCTCACTTTTGAAGGAGTTGTTAGGCATCACAAGTCTACATTGCTAGTACACACACCATCATTTCCCAACTTCAAAAAAAAAAAAATCAAATCGCTTCATTTCATTATATTAATGTATTTCTACTTTATCCCTCTCCAATTTCACTTGAAGATGTTTGAATTGATCTCCATGCTTCTGGTGCATTTGGAAATGTATCCAGAAGTGGGCTGGATGGACAGTTTATATGGGAGGCAAAATCTCTGGGAAACGCCTGGGCCCTTAGAGAAACGGCCCCTTTAAAGAAATTCTCGCTATAGCACTGAAGTTTGTCCAGGGATTTGGCTAGATGTTTCTTCAGCTTTAGAAAGTGAAGATGGTGTTTACTCCAGGATGTTTTTGATGTAACGTTTAAGATGTTTTCAATGGCTTTGTTATCAAGGGAAGTGCTGGTTCAGATGTCCCCTGGCCTACAGGGCTAGAATTCACCTGTGTCCACTCCTGAATTGCGACCTGGAGTAGTATATGCTTATTATGGCTTAAGACAGGACCCACACCAACCACATGGCTAGGAAACTCAATTTTAGGAACAACAAATGTCCATAGTAATGAAACATGTAAATGTCT